TGTGTGTGGGGGGGGGGGGGCGTTGTTTACTACAAGTCACTTCGAGCAGTGTTGTTTGGTCAGTAAGTATAGTTGCGAGGCTAGAGCGTTGCCTTCAGTTTACAATGCTTCATCCCAACCACGTGAAATTCACAAAAGGCAAACACTTGTTCGAAAAGTAATTACAGCAATATCTTGACAATTTCCTACGTGTTACACAGGTTAATGACCGGCATCGACACAGTTACCTTTAACAGGGACATTCATGACAAAGTGTATGTGCTCATCATTGTATTTTTGTATATTTGTGGCTGTGCAATCCAGATAACAACATTGGAATTGCTTTAAAAATGAAACTGAATTGAGTTACCACAACTTATCCCTGTTTATTTGCATAAGACTTAGCGATGTTTAGCGTCTAACAAGTTGATCTGCACCGCTCTCGTTGAATAGATTATATGATATATAAATAAAAATTACACATAAAACTTGCCATAAGTGAAATTATGTTTTTTAGATAGGGTGGTCCACTTAATAACTGCGATTCCTGAATGCTAACAGGAACACGTATCAAGCCAGTGTTATAGATATATGAATATTAGGTGTTGTTTTTACCACCAGTCTGTGTGTGGTTCAAGGCGCAGAATGTAATTTCGGAACAAGCAAACAAATTTTATATTCTATGAAAGGAGGTTTAGTTAGTTTATGAGATATATGATAATGCTATTTGATATCAAAATCTTAACCATCCTATTATATGGTTGTGAGGTGTGGGGTCGTCACAGCGCAGTGAGTATAGAACGTGTTTATCCTAAGTTTCGTCGTTATGTGTTACATAATTTACTAAACTAAATATCCTATGTCTACTTTCGTTTATTTTTATTTTACAACTGAACTAGTTCTACGCCATCACCATGACAAAATGACCCAATTTTACGCATTGAAATAATACATCTTTCCCGTTATTATACTAGTAATTCTAAAACCGTACTAATATGGCTAACAACCATTCTTCAAGAAAGATTTCTTTCACAACAATAATAATATAATGCAAAATAGATATTATATATATCGTGTTTAATATATATTTTTGGCAGACATATGTGCAGAGATCCAATTATCAAAAATGTCATTTTAAAGGGGAACCTGCAAAACTCAGGGATTGTAACAAGGAATCGTGGGACACTATTGTTTATGTTGTTTACAATGTTAATTTATCTTTTGTTATCAATTGTAATTTTAATCCAGAAAGCAAATTTGTTGTGAGATTGAGATGTCCTTTTAAATACGTGAAAACATCTATCAACAGTTTAAGAAACTTTCCTGTTTTTCTGTACTTTTAAGTTGCTTTCATAACCTTGCTTTCTCTTTGCCTCGGTGTTTTAACAAATCAGGATCTTGTAATGTAACATACTGTAATGCTTCCACGAGGTCTTCGTACATAGAGAGCTTCATGGCGTGGTATGTCTGTCTGTTAAGTCCGATCTTCACTACAGCATAAAATCAATGATAATTAAAACATTTGAGTTGCTTATTCACAGAAAACATAAAGAATACACAATCACACTGGATGCAAAATCTTAAATGTAAACTGCTTAAAGCGTATACTTTCGCTCTAAAGTAGTGTCTAGGTTTTGACGTACAAATGTATGTTTGCATGGTTTGCGCATGCACAACAGATGCTCCCATATTTGACCAGACCAATGACACAATGTGCTAAATTTTTAAACTTACCAAGATCGGCAGCCATTGTCCTCGCTAGATCCAGCAATTGTTTTCCTTCGGCAACCCCATCTAATAATCCAGTCGGCATTAGCTCAGCCGCGGTGTACCGTTTACCGAGCAATCCCACATCTCTCATGTGTTTACCGGGAGGAATACGATGACTGCAAAAAAGAAGTTTGAACAATGTCCCTGAACACAAACACAAATACCGTTCTTTCAATTAACATGTTGTAACCGTCATGCAGACTTGATATGACTCGTGGATTCAATAGTAAATATTAATAAAATAAACAATTTGTATAATCCATTGCTATATCGAGTTAATCTATAAAAATGCTATCACAAATAGAACAGCGGTGAGAACATTTTTACATTTTTGAATTCTGCTTGTCGCTTGTCAGAAAATCTACCAAGTTTAATGAGCTAGACGATTCACACAACTCAATCGATCTTGATGAGGATAAGTGTGCTATATCAAATAAGTGTTTCGTGGAAAAAGAGAAACAGTCTGACACCATGGAAACAAAAGTAAACGATGGTTGTAATCAAACTAATCTCGTATGAGCATGATATGCATTATGGGATACCAGCTGAGATCACCAACTGTACATATATTAATATTTCGGCATATAACTCATGTGTATATATTATGTTTTGAAATTCAAAGAAAACTTACCTTAGAATTTTAACCATTGGGTATTCAAATGGTCGATGGATGTGTACTTCCGGCAAGGAAAACCATCCTTTGTTGTTTTGCATGATACGAAAATCATGGCACAGTGCCACGAATCCACCTGCCGCAAAACAGTGACCTGTAAGCAAAGAACAGTAAAATTGTCAATTCTCACTGAAGGAAGACTGCAATCTGTTACCGAAGTTGTTTAGGAATAAGCAAGTGGAGGATGCTGACGAAATTTCAAGACATGTTATTAAGTGAAAACCGGATCGTTGGACATTTCTGAGGGCATATTTGATTTGACAATGAATTAGTTATGGGAGTTAAACTGTCGATGTCCGCATTTTGACGAGTGTGTTTCACGATGAATACGAAATTTCATACAAGTTGTCAGGAAGCTTATCATTTATACTATAATATACGCAATGAATAATCTCCTTTTAATAATATTAAAAATATTTTATATATTCTTTTCTTGTCACTTCTATTTGAAGTTGCACTGGTTTTTAAAGTTGGAAATCCCGATTTTTCTTATGAATTTGTGAGCCAATCTTCCGAATTAGAAAATTAGTAACACCGCAATTGACTGTCCGAGTGGAAGTTGTCAATTAATATAATAGTAACATTATGAGGCGTTGCTAGGAATTCACGCGAAGCATTGTACCTTTACTGTGAATTAAAACTAAAACGAATGCCTCAATTGTATGTTAACTACATGTATACCGAGTATACCTTTAAACTCGTGAGAATTACTATGAATATTGTTGTAGAATTGCACAGAATAAAACCCACCATTGATAGCTGCTATCGTTGGAACAGGAAACACCAAAAAACGAAGGAAAAGTCTGTGAATTTGTTTGTGAAAAATTTCGATCTTGGAAACATCTTGTTCCATCAACCAATCAAGATCCAGACCATTGCTATAAAACTTGCCAACACCAACACTGATGAGCGCTTTAACTTCAGAATTTCTGTATATGCAAGTAAAGTTGTTACGAATACATGGTTATATGGTATTACTTAGGGGGGGGGTCTCTGTGTGTAGGATAGCATATCTGTAATAGGAGTATAGTAAACGTCTTCAATTGTCTAGTCGTATATGGTATTCCTGTTATAAGAGATGTTGTACACACACTAAATGTCCTGTTTCCGAAACTGACCTCCCAGTCAAAACTTTCTTTCTATTGTAAAAGGGTTAATTATTCACTGGGTTTTAATTTTGCTTATTTTGCTGGCTTGAAAATGCGCTAAATTAAAAAGTGAATATGTAAAATTAAGCATAGAACACATTGTCTAGTATAAATCCTACTGAATATGCCTGAAATGGTAAATCATCGAAATTTAAACCCAGTGAAAATTAGTCATTTTACAGTATGTCGTTTTTCATAGATCACGTGGCATCAAAAAGGAAACAGTTAAGATCATGAATATTTATGAGTTGAGCATTATGCAAATTTTCCCACAATTTCCGTATGCAAATTAGATGAAAACAATGACTTAAATTGTCATTAAAATAAGATCAACGCACACGTGAACTTATTCACGCATTGCGTAATAAACGTTCTCGAACATGTTTCCCCATTCCCATTCCCATTCCCATTTCAAATTGTTGAAAGGATGGTTAAGTCAAATAAAGACTCTTATTCGGACTATTCTAGATATAAAGTCCTTTACGCGATTTTAACATGTTTTTATTTACAAGCTAGCCACATTTCTTGTGTCGTAAGTGTTTTAACCATTTACAAGTAGGGCAATGCAAAATAACTGAATACATAGAAAACATTCTACGTAATTGAGATGACACGTAACCAACTGCGTATTACATTCATTGTTCTATTGTTCGTAGTTTTAGACCAATTGTCTCAAATAAAGAAAATAAATATAGAAATAAATTGCTGAAATGATTACGTATAGCTTATTAATACAGCAATGCCAGGCTAGGCGCGGAACATTACTCGTCTTTCGTTTTATAACTTATTTTTATAAATACTGAAATTTAGTTCGGTATTTGGTAAGTATAGTGAAAATTAAATTAAATATATATAAAAC